CCCTCTCCTTCCCCTTCCCCTCCCCTCCTCCTTCCTTCCCCCTCCCCTCTCCTTCCCAGCTCCTCCTTCCCCTCCCGTCCTCCCCCCTCCTTCCCCTCCCCTCCTCCCCTCCCGCCCTACCTTCCCCTTCCCCTCCCCCTCCCCTTCCTCCCCCTTCCCTCCTCCCTTTCCCCTCCCCTCTCGCTTCCTCACCCTCCTTCCCCACCCTTCCTCCCCCTCCTTTCTTTCCCCTTCCCCTCCCCCACCCTTCCCTCCCTCCCTCCCCTCCCCACTCCCATGGGAAATAAACACGCTAGTCGAACCAGTTTCTTATCTTATTCCTTTATTTATTCATACATTTATTCATATATTTATTTATTTATGTTTGTTCATTTCACGTTAGAATTGTTCATCGATGCGCGTGGAAATGAACATTGAAAAAGATGAACAAACAAACTAAGAATTTTACAGAAATATGATAAAAAATATCGAGCTAGATAAATGGAAAATTCCATTTGAATGAAAGAGGAAAACTATACTCATGTGTATGTATATATTTATTCGTACATATATTTATTTGCATATTTTTTGTGGAATAAGATGCAGATTTAATTTCATATATATCTATCCTCGTGTACACGTGAGTTTTTTTTCTTTTTTTTCTTTTTTTTTTGAGTGTGTGGCGTTCGAGCAAAACCCATACATAAATACATATATTCATATATTTTTTGTGATATTCAGAGGAAAAACAAATAATCTATCATTTAAAAATATGCATATGTTTGAAATAAAAAACTAGAAACCCAGCAAGTGAGAGAGAGAGAGAGAGAGAGAGAGAGAGAGAGAGAGAGAGAGAGAGAGAGAGAGAGAGAGAGAGAGAGACTGACAGAGGCAGAGAGAGAATGATAGAAACAGAAACAGAGAGTGAATGAGTGAGAGAGAGAGAGCGAGATAAAGGAAGAAGGGCAGAGACAGAGACAGACAGACAGAAAGAAAAACAGATAGAGAAGGAGAGAGAGAGAGAGATGAGAGAGAGGGGGGGAGTGAAAGAGAGGGAGATAGAAACGGAGAGAGAGAGGGAAGGGAGGAGATAGAAATGGAGAGAGAGAGAGAGAGAGAGAGGGAAGGAGGGAGAGAGAGAAAGAGAGAGAGAGACAACACCCGTTATAGCCCCGCACTCACCCCCACTCCCACCCCCACCCCTACCCTCCCGACAACTTACAGCCCTGGAAACCAATTAATGTTGAACTGTCAGTGTTTACCTTGACGTGAGTAAGGATCGAGATGCTAATATGGCACATTTCGGTGCATCACAACGGGGGAAATGTTTACTTCCTTTTCCAGTGTAATTAGCAATAAGGAACATCTTTTCCAGCTAATTGTCTCTAATAGGTTTCAAATCGTTATTACCTCTCTTCCTCTTCTTATTTACGAGCCTCTGTGTCTGTGTGTGTGTGTGGGTGTGTTTGTGTGTGTGTGTGTGTGTGTGTATGTGTGTGTGTGTGTGTGTGCGTGCGAGTATAAGCATGTGTGTGCCAGTACGTGTTTTTATGTCTAGATAGATAGATAGATAGATAGATAGATAGATAGATAGATAGATAGATAGATAGATAGATAGATAGATAGATAGATAGATAGATAGATAGATAGATAGATAGATAGATAGATAGATAGATAGATAGATAGATAGATAGATAGATAGATAGATAGATAGATAGATAGATAGATAGATAGATAGATAGATAGATAGATAGATAGATAGATAGATAGATAGATAGATAGATAGATAGATAGATAGATAGATAGATAGATAGATAGATAGATAGATAGATAGATAGATAGATAGATAGATAGATAGATAGATAGATAGATAGATAGATAGATAGATAGATAGATAGATAGATAGATAGATAGATAGATAGATAGATAGATAGATAGATAGATAGATAGATAGATAGATAGATAGATAGATAGATAGATAGATAGATAGATAGATAGATAGATAGATAGATAGATAGATAGATAGATAGATAGATAGATAGATAGATAGATAGATAGATAGATAGATAGATAGATAGATAGATAGATAGATAGATAGATAGATAGATAGATAGATAGATAGATAGATAGATAGATAGATAGATAGATAGATAGATAGATAGATAGATAGATAGATAGATAGATAGATAGATAGATAGATAGATAGATAGATAGATAGATAGATAGATAGATAGATAGATAGATAGATAGATAGATAGATAGATAGATAGATAGATAGATAGATAGATAGATAGATAGATAGATAGATAGATAGATAGATAGATAGATAGATAGATAGATAGATAGATAGATAGATAGATAGATAGATAGATAGATAGATAGATAGATAGATAGATAGATAGATAGATAGATAGATAGATAGATAGATAGATAGATAGATAGATAGATAGATAGATAGATAGATAGATAGATAGATAGATAGATAGATAGATAGATAGATAGATAGATAGATAGATAGATAGATAGATAGATAGATAGATAGATAGATAGATAGATAGATAGATAGATAGATAGATAGATAGATAGATAGATAGATAGATAGATAGATAGATAGATAGATAGATAGATAGATAGATAGATAGATAGATAGATAGATAGATAGATAGATAGATAGATAGATAGATAGATAGATAGATAGATAGATAGATAGATAGATAGATAGATAGATAGATAGATAGATAGATAGATAGATAGATAGATAGATAGATAGATAGATAGATAGATAGATAGATAGATAGATAGATAGATAGATAGATAGATAGATAGATAGATAGATAGATAGATAGATAGATAGATAGATAGATAGATAGATAGATAGATAGATAGATAGATAGATAGATAGATAGATAGATAGATAGATAGATAGATAGATAGATAGATAGATAGATAGATAGATAGATAGATAGATAGATAGATAGATAGATAGATAGATAGATAGATAGATAGATAGATAGATAGATAGATAGATAGATAGATAGATAGATAGATAGATAGATAGATAGATAGA